CAAATTTAGAAGTAACTGATAATGCTTATGACAAACATTTTATAACATATTAAATAATGTGATGAAGATATTAGCATATTAAATTTCCAAACCGAATATAAAATAATACTAAGGGATTGTTATTGTACATAAATTTATTGTTATCAGTTTTACCTAGTAAACAAATTTATCCCATGCCACTAGCACCAGCAGCACTCATGGGTCACCCGTTGCATAGCGAAACACACCCTGTACAGAAATGCTTGGTTTGCTAGCGCGTTGGTGCTCACCGTACATGTATAGCCGTATGTTTATGCATGTGTGCGTGTGTACGTGCATGTGTATGTGTGCTAGTCCACCCTCGAGGGAACATGGTGCGGTAGAGAGGATGAGGAATGTTGGGGTTGAAGAGGTAAGAGAGGGTGGAAGGGGGACAGCCGGGGGGTTAGAGCTAGAGAACGAGAGAGGATGAGAGGGTGAGAGAGGGCAAAGAGGGCGAGAGCGAGGGCTACATAGGAGAGGGATGGAGTACGTGGAGGCCCGTCTTATATTGATTTCTGTCCACGCCACCCCCGCTGGGGCCCCCCCCCCCGTAACCTCCGCGCGAGCCGTCCTATGCTTGAACGGGAGGTGGCAGCGTCAGGTATAGGGGATGAGGGAGGTAGAGAATCAAAGGAGAGAATAAGAGGGCGAATGAAAAGAAAGAGAGAGGAAGACAGTAAGAGAGAAAGAGAGAGAGAGAGAGAGCACAAGAGAACAAGACTGACAGGAGATAGAAGGAAAAGAGCGGGGGGAGAGATGGGACTCGCTCGCCGCACTTTCCACGGGCGACGGGAGAGGCCCTCGGGGGTGGCACTCTGTCACATTCAACCCCCGACCACCGTCGGCAGCCCCTCATTCAAATAACAGGCACCGCCGCTTCGAAGGATGGATGAGGGGAAAGGGGGATGTAGGTGGAAGTTGGGTAGATGGTAACGGTGGATCGGGGGAGGCGGGCCGACAGAGGGTGAGTTTCGTCCGGCCGAAGCACACCTCGATCGATTGGGCTTGTCCAAGGGTGGAAGAGGTATCCCCCCCCATCCCCCCTCTCCCTCCCGTGGCCGTCCTCATCCTCCCCCATAGTACTCTCTTCCTTCGTCGTCCTCCCCCTATATCCCTCGACTCACTCACGAAAGCGCCCAACGCGAGTGGCGCACGTATACATGTATACGTGACTCTACGCGCGCGTATATGTGGCATGGCGAGGGGTTGCTATGGCGACCCACCCTCGGTACGGGGGTGAAACGCCATTGGCCGGCGCGGGGGCCTCGACCGATCCCCCCCTCGCACGTGTGCGTGAATGCGTGCAATGTATGCGTGTGTGTGTACATGTGCACGCGCGTCTGCTTGCTCTCGCCACTGTCCACGTTTTTGCTCATACCGTCAACAATTTTTTCTACGAGAAAAAAAATCCATTCGGAGGAAAATTTTTCAATGACTAATTTATGCGACAATCTCCGATCTCTTATACATTCCCAGAGATCCGTAATTAAATTGCAGACGTATATAAGAAGAGAGATTCACAAATACAATAAGGTATTTTATAATTTATTTACAATTATATAAAGGCAAAATTGATTTTGTCCCGTTAATATTCAAAGTAAGTGATAAAAGATGTAATGAATAGTGTAATAAATAAAGTATAGTAAAATCAAGCAAGTAGCAATGCTCGATATAAATTTTTTGCGATGTTATGATAAAATTTATTTACAATAATTACTATTTTTATAGAAATTTGTAATCATTTCAATGACGAAAAACTCGACAAATACGTGGATAAAAAAATTTCTTTGCTCATAATAGTTTCGTTCATATATTCGGGCGCAAATAAAGAGTTCGGAATAACAGCCGGAAATGATCGCATCGTTTACGCGCGGGAAAGGTGTTGAAGGTCGAAGACTACGTTTTGAGGCATGATTCTGTTTGCCGGTACCACTTTGTTCCTTTTTGCACGAGTAAATGGAGAAACTTTATAAAGTTCTCAGCGGCGGCTAAGTTTTCTCTCGTCGGAAATATCAGGCTGGCTACGGCGGTGAATTTATTTAAAACGGAAGTCGGCGGAAGTGGCGTGCACTTTCTCGAGAAAATCTCTACGGCTTCACTATCAACTCTCGTCACCTAATTTTGCTCGTTAAGCGTTTAGAGCTTAAAGTCGCGTGTTTAAAGATTCCCATTTAAGATTCCGATTAGCCGATGGAAGATCTTTTTTTTTTTACTTAAGCGTTGCGGAAGAGTTTACTTATTAACGCAACATTTTATGATGCGCTGTTAAGTGAATTTTAGATTAGATAAATTACTTGGAAAAGTGTTGTTTATAAAATTACTATTAATATTATATTTTATATATTTATTTTATAGCATCACATAACTTTTCCATAAAAATAGTGATTTCGCCAATAAAATAATTTTAAGAAATATTATGTTGTAATATATACTTTTACATATTTTTACTTTTACATTTATGACACAATGAAATATTTCTAATATACAATGTAAGTTAAATTTTATTTTAAAAAAATTGTTTAATATAAACAAGTAGTAAGTATAAATAAATTAAGTTATTTACGATTGGGATAATATATTATAAACTTGTTCTAAATCTAACTAATAGTGTGCTATTTTAAAAATCATTGTGAAAGATAACTATTAAAGATCTAAATATCGTTTCACTTAATATTAAAATGAAATAATAGACGACCAACAAGTTGGAGCAGCAGGCAGAAGCTCAATGAAAAAGTTTCAACATCGCGGAATTCGCAGGAACGGCGAAAGAAAGCAGGAACGCAAATCGCAGTGAAAGAAAACGATAGGTTCAACGAGAAAATAAGCCTCGCTAAGTGCACGTGACGCCGCCGCGTATTGCACCGATGAAAGAATGAGAGAGAGAAAGAGATAAGAAGAGAGAGAGAGAGAGAGAGAGAGAGAGAGAGAGAGAGAG